TGGCAGAGAGTGGAGGCATGTCTGACCTCTGCCTCATAGGAATCAGCCTTGGGCTGTTGAATCTTGATTCTCCTTCCCCCTTGTGAAGAGAGAGGAGGTCAGGCTCTGCCCCCACGACATTTTCACACAGGCATACCTCGGAGATATTGCAGATTCAGTTCCAGACCACTGTGATAAAGCAAATATCACAATAAAGCAAGTCATACATTTTTGTTTCCCAGTGCATATAAAAGTTATGTTTACACTATACTGTAGTCTATTAACTGTGCAGTAGCATTATGTCTAAAGAAAATGTACATACCTTAATTAAAAAATACTTTATTGCTAAAAAACGCTAACCATCATCTGAATCTTCAGCGAGTCATAATCTTTTTGCTGGTGGAGGGTCTTGCCTTGATGTTGATGGCTGCTGACTGATCAGGGTGGTGGTTGCTGAAAGTTGGGGTGGCTGTGGCAATTTCTTAAAATAAGACAACAATGAAGTTTGCCACATTGATCAACTCTTCCTTTCACGAAAGATTTCTCTGTAGCATGTGATGCTGTTTGATAGCACTTTACCTACAGTAGAACTTCTTTCAAAATTGGAGTCAATCTTCTCAAACCCTGCCACTGCTTTATCAACTAAGTTTATGTAATATTCTAAATCCTTTGTTGTCATTTCAACAATGTTCACAGCATCTTTATCAGGAGTAGATTCCATCTCAAGAAACCACTTTCTTTGCTCATCCATGAAAAGCAACTTCTCATCCATTGAAGTTTTATCATGGGATTGCAGCAATTCAGTCACATCCTCAGGTTCCACTTCTAATTCTAGTTCTCTTGCTACCTCCACCACATCTGCAATTACTTTCTCCACTGAAGTCTTGAACCCCTCAAAGTCATCTTCCAAACTTCCAAACTTCCATGAATCATGAATGTTCTTAATGGCATCTAGAATGGTGAATCCTTTCCAGAAGGCTTTCAATTTACTTTGCCCAGATCCATCAGAGGAATCACTATCTAAGGCAGCTATAGCCCTACAAAATGTATTTCTTAAATAATAAGACTTGAAAGTTAAAATTACTCCTTGATCCATGGGCTGCAAAATGGATGTTGTGTTAGCAGGCATGAAAACAACATTAATCTCCTTGTACATCTCCATCAGAGCTCTTGGGTGGCCAGGTGCATTGTCAATCAGCAGTAATATTTTGAAAGGAATCTTTTTTTTTGAGCAGTAGGCCTCAACAGTGGGCTTAAAATACTCAGTAAATACTCAGATGTGCTGTCATCCAGCCTTTTTGCTCCATTTATAGAGCACAGGCAGAGTATATTTTAGCATAATTCTTCAGGCCCCTAGGATTTTTTGAACGGTAAATGAGAATTGGCTTCAACTTAAAGTCACCAGCTGCATTAGCCACTAACAAGAGTCAGCTTGTCCTTTGAAGCTTTGAAGCCAGGCATTGACTTCTCTCTAGCTATGAAAGAAAGTCCTAGATGGCATCTTCTTCCAATATAAGGCTGTTTCATCTACATTGAAAATCTGTTGTTCAGTGTAGCCACCTTCCTCAATTATCTTAGCTAGATCTTCTGGATAACTTGCAGCTTCTACATCAGCATTTTCTGCTTCACCTTGCACTTTCATGTTATGGAGACGGCTTCTTTACTTAAACCTCATAAACCAATATCTGCTAGCTTCAAACTTTTCTTCTGCAGCTTCCTCACCTCCCTCAGCCTTCACAGAATTAAAGAGAGTTAGGGCCTTGCTCTGGATTAGGCTTTGCCTTAAGGGAACGTTGTGGGTGGTTTGATCTTCTCTCCAGACCAATAAAACTTTCTCCATATCAGCAATAAGGCTGTTTCACTTTCTTATCATTCGTGTGTTCACTAGAGTAGCACTTCTAATTTCCTTCAAGAACTTTTCCTTTGCATTCACAACCTGGCTATTTGGCACAAGAGGTCTAGCTTTCAGCCTCTCTCAGCTTTTGACATGCCTTCCTCACTAAGCTTAATCATTTCTAGCTTTTGATTTAAAGTCAGAGATGTGCAACTCTTCCTTTCACTTGAACACTTAGAGGCCATTGCAGGATTATTAACTGGCCTAATTTCAATATTGTCATAACTCGGGGAATAGGGAGGCCCGAGGAGAGGGAGACAGGGGAATGGCTGGTCGGTGGAGCAGTCAGAACACACACAACATTTATTGATTAAGTTTACCATCTTATATGGGTGCAGCTCATGGCACCACAAAACAATTAACAATAGTAACATCAAAGATCACCGATCACAGATCACCATAGCAGATAATATAATAATAATAAAAAAGTTTGAAATATTGTGAGAATTATCAAAATGTGACACAGAAACACAAAGTAAGCACATGCTGTTGGAAAAATGGTGCCAACAGACTTGCTCAATGCAGGGTTGCCACAAACCTTCAATTGTAAAAAACCCAGTATCTGTGAAGCGCAATAAAACAAGGTATGCCTGTAATAATAATGTGTGTTGTTTCAACTGACAAAGATCTTGCTCAGTGACTCTTATTGCCCAGGCCTGAAAGTTGTTAGGAACAACAAAGGCTGGCCTAAAAATAAAAAGCAATGATTTCCAATGCTAGAATGGTGGAGCCATTGAAGCTCTATTTTTAGCAAGTCTCAGTTACCTGGGAAGCAGCATATGGCTCCTATAATTTTCCAAAGCATTAAAACATTAAAAGACTGAAGTGCCTGGGATAAGTGGGCTGGTCCCCAAACGAGCGTACTCACACTGCCAAAGGCAGACAGCAGACGGGCAAGTCAACCCAACAAGCTTCCAAAGGGCCCCGCCGGCATTCTACAATCATTTAGCCATTAGCAACAGTTAAAATATTAAGCCAAATGACAGAGGAGTTTCCACTACCAATTTATGATATCGAAGACTATATATTTTTGACAAGAGAGCATTTTCTAAGCAATTACTCCCTAGGGAAGAAGAAAAGAATCCTGAAACAAAACACTAGGGGCTGTTTCAGGCTAAAGTTCAAGTATGGCAAGAGAAAAAAAGGAGAAAAACATCTCGCTGTGCATGGTGCAAAGGGGACCCATGACACTTCCCTAAAATGCAGGATGAGAACCCTGCAGGAATCAGCACTTGGGCTCCCTAATCTAAGATCACCTCTGCACAACCCAGAGCACATAAATGTGCTTCATTGGTCCCCAGGAGGAAGTGTGGCAAGCCTGAAAGCTCACCACAACTAAGAAAGATAAAGGATAAGATTTCTTTGGTAGTGGACCCATAGCAAGGAAACTTGGGAGGAGACCTTGAAACAAGCTGGACCACCAGCTGCCCTAACAACACAGTATGTGCTTTCCACGGAGCCAGTCATGGGTTTTTCTCAACAAGTTCAATGCAAAGGACGTTTTGATTAATGGCTAATCAAGGGCCACAGAAAGATCCTCATATGTACAGTAGAAGTGGTCTAAGCACAAATACTATTGTATTGCCAGAATTCCCCTACGGATTGCATTGCAATAAATTTACCTATTTCTTTGTTGTTGTTAGGTGTCACTGAGTCTATTCCGACTCATAGTGACCCCAAGTGACAGAGCAGAACTGCCCCATAGGGTTTTCTTGGCTGTAATCTTTATGGGAGTAGATCACCAGGTCTTTCTTCCATGGAGCCACTCAGTGGGTTCAAGTTGCCAAGCACTTGGATAGCAGCTGAGCACTTAACTCTTTGCACCACCATGGCTCCTTCAGAGAAATACTTCCAAACATGTAAATATACTTTACAAAATGACAGAGACAACATCAGAGGAAACTCAGAGCAGCACTGACTCTCCCAATCACTCTTGACCATATGGAATGTGCTTTTTAGCAGGAGATATGAATAAGCAATAGCATTAAATACCAATTTCTGGCCTAGTTTGGGGAAACAAGACTTTGACATTAGAGTCATACATCATATGTTGTTTTCACTCATTCCACAAAGTTTCTTTTCTGCCCATTCTGGGAGAGATAGCATGCCAGGTGCTGGGTTACCACTGTGGATGAGACAGCCATAGTCTTCACTTTCGTGCTGGGGACACTGCAAACCACAAGTATGATTTGCATGGTCATTGAAGTTCCCAGTGGTGCTTCCTGAACCAGTACATGCCCTCTCCTCAAGCAGTGACCTTTCTCCTATGCTTCCGGAAGCATCCAAGTTAGTGCCGGGGAGGAAGGGAGGAAAGGGAAGAGGGAATTATGTATGGCTACAACAAATCAGACTTCTTTGCATTTTCCAGCAGACCAAATAAAGCAAAGATAAATAAGATGTCTCAAGATCCCCCGTAAAAAATAACTCCTTCCCGATTGGTGGTTTCTTCCAGCTTGTCTGTTAACCCCAGGAAAGTGAAGTTGCAACTGCAGTATGCAAGAATTATTTGAGTCAAGCATGCCATACCCCTCTACCTCCTAAGCAAGAATTCCTCAGCTACCAGCTAAGAGCCAAGATTTCCCAAGACAGGACCTACGACAGCATGGAGGGAAGTGAGTGGGCAAAGACTTAGCAGAGCCCAGGAAAGGCAGGGGGGCAATGGGCTAAGGATGGTGCTGCTGGAAGCATCGGAGCGAATGAGTCTTGATGGCTGCTACAGACTCCTAAGTCATCACCCCAGAAAGTTGTCCTACCTTATATATATAAATGGGTACACATACATTTGATAAATGATCAGCTTAGCCCCCCATTATCAGAAGGAAGCAACTGATAGCAGAGGAAAAATAAAATAATGTGTGTTGTTGTAAGCCTCTACATTTGTGGTAATTTGTTACACAGCAATGGAAAACCCAGAATTCCTGAAAACATTGGAGCCCTCAAGCATGAACCCTTGCATTAGGTGATACCTAGGAAACTCTGGGTCTGAGTGAAATTCCAGAACTGTGCCCAGGCAGAGAGCTGGGTGAGGGAAGCCAGAGGGTGTACCCACACCCATTGGGCACTCTGACTTCAAGGCAGTAGTTGAGAGGCCCCTGGCTTTCAAAGCAGATGTGCCTCCCCACCTCACCTGCCCTCCAACACGCCTGTCCAGTCAGTCTTCAGAGATGAGGGAAGCCTGGCCCTGGAATTACAGATTGCCAGAGGCAGATCACGAAGTCCACCGCCCGAATCTCAGCGCTTGGCACAGTGCCTGGCATACAGTGCATGCCCAACAAATGGTCTGATTGAAAAAGGGCAGAAAGAGCCCGTGCTGCCCCGAAAAGGGCAACTCAGAAGCGGCAGGGCCTGGCCAGGGTCCCGCAGCCGGTCAGGGCGGAGCGACCGCGGGCCAAGACCAGGCCTCAGGTCGGTGGGCACCGGGCCGGGCGCCATCTCCGGCCCAAGCGGAGGGGGAGCTGCGGCGGGAGGACGGCGCGCGACGGCGGCGGGC